TTATTTTGTCCTGCAGATTTGATTTTTATTCCATTATTGCCAACGAAATTAAACACCTAGGGTATAATAAGCCTCAAATTAGAAGCTAGGTCATAATTGAGATAGTAAAAGAAGATGAAGGACAACTAATAAAATATTTTTAAAGCCTTTAACTATGAATGAAATTCACCTCTTAATAATCTGACACGTGTCACATACAGAACATTTTCTACCGTCACCAGCCTGTGACATAGAATATCTTTATTTGCAAAAAGAAAAAAATCAAAACTTTGAAAAGAAGACTTTCCCAATTCAAAATTCAAAGCCGGCTTTTTTATTTTTCTCTGCTCCAGGGGAAAATTAAAAAAAGGTGGAACCTTTCTTCTCCTGGAGCGAATCAATTTTACTTTTTCATCAAATCGCTGACTCTCCTCGTCGTCTTCGATCGTATCAACGAATTGGGGTTAGTTCGATTCGATCATTCGCTATATCAATTTTTCTGGGGATTTTTTAACGGTTTTGATGATCAATTGATCTTTCAATGTCTTCTTTTGATTGATTAGAGGGTATATGTTAAGGGTTTCATGTCTCCTTTTGCTGTTTAAAGACTTTTTTTTTTTTCCTTCTCAAGAAATTTCGTTTTTAGGTTTTGGTTTGCTTGTAGTAGAAAGGTGAATTGGAATTATACTTATGAAATTGATTGTAAAAGATGGTACGGCTTATTCGTTTGTGAGTAGAATAACGAATATTGAGTAATAATATATCTTCTCATTTGTTTCTTGATCGAAACAGGTTTCAAGTGATTTGTTGGTTTGAAGTGTTTGGTATTGGGAAAATGCCTTCTCTCATCTCACAACAATGGCAAGAGAGAACTAGTGGATTCTTTTCTTCATCAGGTTAGATTAGATTCTATACTAAACTTGCGCGTGTGTGTATTTGTGGTGGGAGGCTTACTTTGGTTTTTTACTGAATCAGGAACGAAGCTTAGGGAAGCCGGGCAATCAGCTGGTAGTTTTGTCGGGGAAGTCGCTAAAGACGCGAAAGTTAATGTTGCTGATGTTGCAGAACGATTTGGGACGTTGTTCAAAAGCCGGTGGGCGATTCTTCAACAGCCTGCAACTAGACATGCCGTGCAAGAACATCTCATAACTGCTGCTGCAACAACCGGGACATTGGTCAGGAAGGGTATAACTGAGACTAAGGAAAAGGTGTCCGTTGGAAAGACCAAAGTGGAAGAGGTATTTAGTTGACAAAATAGCTTCTGGAGCTTATTCGAGAAGAATGTATGTTTGTTTCGTTTTCTAACTTCTGACAGCTCAATTCTTTGATCTTTGTTTTCCTTTTAGGCGGCAAAAAAGACTGCACAAAAGAGCAAGACCATTTTGACGGATATCGAAAGGTGGCAGAAGGTATTTGAGTCTGTGATCTGATTGTCACCTGTGATTTGAGTTTGGTCTCTAATATCTCTTCTTTATGAATCTGCAGGGAGTTGCCAGCTCAGATGGTAAGATAATCGCGATTTATGGAGAAAAACGTGTAGAAACCTCGGTTAATTGAAAATTCAGTGGATTCTTTAATAGAGAGATTTGTTGGTTCTTTGAGAGAGTTGTAGGAAGACTTAATCCCCTCATTGTCCATTTCCTTGAGATAAATGAAATGGACAAGTTCAATAACTTTCAGTATATGACAATTTTTTGCATGCAGTGTTTGGTGTTGCGATTGAGATCACTGTCCAGCGACAGGAGTCAAGCAGGCCTATTCCATTTATTCTGATTAAATGTGCAGATTATCTCATATTAACAGGTAAGAATGTTCGGACTATTAGTGCGTAACGCTTATTATAGCTCATACCTTCTCACTTATGTGGTCTTTTCTCCTCTTCTCAGGACTTAATTCACCGAGCTTGTTCAAAGCTGAAGGAGACAAAAAGTTGGTTCAACAATTGGTTTCTGCTTACAATCAAGGTAACCAGCATTCTAACAAGTTTTCTTCTCTACTCTGATGGTTCAACGAGAATTTGTGTTTAGTTAATCACTTCTTCGACAGATCCTAGCGCGTCAATACCTGAGGGCATGAATCCGGTTGATGTTGCTGCACTCATGAAATATTATCTTGCGAGCCTTCCAACACCACTAACTACTTTTGAGCTTTACAATGAAATCAAAGATGCACGGTCGAGCGTAAGCAGAATGAGAAAGTCATTGCAGAAGCTTTCCAATGTGAACTATAATACATTGGAGTTCATAACAGCTTTATTGCTTCGTGTGAGCCAGAAATCGCTATTTAACAAGGTTGGAATATCTATCTACAATCACTTAACAAGTTAACATTGTAATACATTAAACACTAATCTCTGATTCTGGATACTTGAAACGAGCTAATTTTTTGGGAATCAGATAAGTATAGCCATTGGTATGTAATCTGATGATCAATTCTTCTGCATTTTAAACAGATGGATTCTCATAGCCTAGCTATGGAAATGGCTCCGGTGATCATGTGGCGAGAAGACAAGAGGCCCGAATCTTACAGAGAATATTGGAGACGACCATCGAGGAGTCCAAAGAAAAGCAACGACTTTGAAACTGCTTCTCCATGGGACTTGCTCTCAGGTAAACAAAAAAAAAAACTAAACTCTTAGTTTTACCATTGAAGCAAAGTTCCATGATTTTCATTTTAAATCTTTCATGGTTACAGATGAAGGAGAAGGTGTAGATGCATCTTCATCGATCCCTCTAGATGATACCGTTCAAGTCGATTTTGGTGCGGTCGAGGTTGTGCAGTGCCTAATCGAACATCACAACGCGATTTTCACTGATGCAGACGAGACTATATGGAGATGAAGAAACAACAGTACTTAACCAATCTTTTTCTCTAATGATTCCTCCAGATTCAAATCATCAGTTCCTCCCTCCTCCATGAAATTTCTCCATTTTCCGGACCGAACCAGAAGAAGAACATGTGCATTTTGAATCTGGATGATGATTGACTAGTAGTTCCAGTAAATAAGCTTTCGTTTTCATATGGATTCTTGTGTAACATTTTTAGACTTTAGAAAACTGTTAAAAAATAAAGTCTTTTTTTTTTTTTTTTGGCTTTTCTCATCAATATAAAACAGTCACCAGATAACCGTTGATTGGTATTTCCTTACCGAATCGGTTAATTCAAACCGATTAATCCGTATAAACCGGCAGACATGAGTCAACGGATCAGACTTACATTTTGTACGCTTCTCGAGCTCATAGCTATGGCGAAAAGGAGCGATCTTTCGATTTTTGTCTCTACTCTTCTTCTGTTTCTGCCTCTACTGATGGTAATAATTGTCTTCTCCATAAAAACCTCAAAGCTAATGAAACTGGGAAATAAATTTCGGATCTTTGATCACTTCAAGAGGTGGATGATCCGTAATGATAAACGCGTTTCTGGGTTTCTACTACTTGTAGGTCGAGATTGATTTTACGAGATTCGTACGCTAGATTTTTCCAGTTTTGAGTGCTTTTCTGATTTTGGATATACAAAGTTACATACTTTGAGAATGATGGTAGAAATCGAATTCTTAGCTTGTTGGTTTTGGATGCTTAGAATTGGATATACTTATTGAAGAAACTTTTGGGGTAAGTGATTTATGTTTCATTCTCTATGCCCAAATCATCAGAAGTCCGTATTAACACTTGCTTAAGGACTTGGGAATGCCCATAGAGTGATAGAGACAACCTGGGTTGTGTCTGAATGGTTTGGTTTCAGGTAGCTGAAGCTGAATTGGGGGAATCTGAGAAGTTTCCGGTAGTGGTGAGTACTTGGCCTTTCCTTGAAGCTGTTAGAGCCGCTTGGAGAGCGGTTGATAATGGGAGCTCTGCAGTAGAAGCTGTTGTGGAAGGTTGTTCTGCTTGTGAAGAACTCAGGTGTGACGGTACAGGTGGGATTATCGTCTTCTTTTGTTTGCCCCTATCCTCTGAATGAACTTCTCTAAGTGAAAAAAATTCTTTCTTGGTGTTGATAGTTGGGCCTGGAGGTAGTCCGAACGAGAACGGTGAGACCATGATTGATGCTTTAGTCATGGATGGGGTAATAATCATCAATATCCTCAGTTCTATGATCCCATTGGCTTGAAAGATTTCGAAGAATGACTCTTAAGTATTTTTCTTTGGGTTATTCTAAGGACATTCTTAGGTGACTATGGAGGTTGGAGCTGTTGCTGCAATGCGGTATGTCAAAGACGGTATAAGAGCTGCAAATCTGGTGATGAAATACTCTCAACACACGTTGCTCGCGGGAGAAGGAGCATCAGCGTTTGCAATCTCTATGGGTCTTCCTGGACCCATGAACTTAAGCTCCCCTGAATCTGTAAAGAAGTGGTCGGACTGGAAAGATAATCGTTGTCAACCCAATTTCAGGAAGAACGTAGTCCCTGAAAACGACTGTGGACCTTACAAGCCAAACAATGATCGTATGGATATATCTGGAGACATACGCACTGAATCTTGCAAGATGGGAACGATTGAGTATAAACCGCCTCTTATTGGTCCTCACAACCACGATACCATATCGATGGCTGTCATTGACAAAGTAAGATGAGTTTCATTTATATTCTCTATTCATTTTTGTTGCAATATCGATAGAAACTGAGTGTAGTCTTCCAATAGATGGGGCATATAGCTGTTGGGACATCAACCAATGGAGCCACATTCAAGATTCCTGGAAGGTAATGCCGTTTAAACCAAGCCTATATATCTTACCTGCCTCCTGATTGTTAGGAATGTGCGAGGAATATGTTCAAAGTTGATTTCATTGATTAATCATTATAGATTCCTTAATCCTTATCTCACAAAAGATTTAATGAAAAACATTTGAACCTTGATTATGAAATGCAGGGTGGGTGACGGGCCTATCGCTGGCTCATCAGCCTACGCGGATGATGAAGTAGGTGGATGTGGTGCAACTGGAGATGGCGACATCATGATGCGCTTCCTCCCTTGGTAATGATCCAAATCCAATCATCATGATCAAAGGAATAAATTTTTGTATTCTATCTTAAACAATCTAATGACTAAGACAGGTCTTTCTCGGTGTTTTGGAATAGCCACTGGTGACTAATGCCTATTCTCAATGTGCTAAAATTGAATTTTGAGCATGTATAGCATGTTAAAGTGAAAGGGTTTTTAATTTTTTTTCTCGAGTTTCTTGAGTGTTAAAGCGAGCTTAACGTGAATCAACTTCTTCTTTGTCTTGGTTGAGGTTTTAGTTACCAAGTTGTGGAGAGCATGAGACAAGGAATGAAACCAGAAGAAGCTGCTAAAGACGCGATGTCGAGAATCGCAAGGAAGTTTCCAGATTTCGTGGGAGCAGTTGTTGCTGTGGACAAGAAAGGGTCTCACGCAGGAGCTTGCCATGGCTGGACGTTTCAGTACTCAGTCCAAAACCCTGATATGGACGATGTTCAAGTCTTCACAGTTCTTCCAAGTGATTGATTCTTATCATCAAAATGAGTTTCTTGAACTTTTGGTATCAGAAAAGTGATTATAGTTGTGTAGATAAAGAAACGGCAAGAAGTTCATGTCTGGAAATACGGAATGGCAAGCTCGTCTGAAAATATTGTTTCTATAAATAGAATCTGTTCCCCATTGGCCGAATTTGTTTACGGATTTGTCTGAATTGATCAGACAAAGGGACTAAGGAATTCTTTTTTTTTTTTTTTAGTAAACAACAAAACATATGAACACATAGTTGACTTTATGTAATTTAAAGTGACTAAAATAGAAACTCATTTTTGTGGAAACACGAGCACATAAAAATAGGAGAATTCCTCGGTATATCCTCTACGATTCTATATCTAGTTGTTGCAGTTTTTTTAATTATAGTTTCGATAAATTATATTCAAATACATGTTATACTTTTTGTTATATTAGGATAAGTGATCATAAAGTTTAGTAAGAAAATGGTTTAACTAAAAAGACGTGACGAAACGGAGGAGAATGTCATGTAGCCAACTAAACCATACGATTGACATCTTATAATTCAAGCTTGATCTCAATATCTTTTTTTTTGTTGTTGTAAAAATTCATTAATTGAGAAATTAAACACTCGGGTTCATCTCCGATGCCATCGAAAGGGCATGGAGAGATTGTTTTGCCAGAGAATCAGCCACTAAATTGGCTTTTCTCGGAATAAAGATAAAAGCAACATCAAAAAATTGAGAGGAAAGTTTGGAGATATCGTGAAGAATCCCAAACTCAATTATATAATTAAAAAGGTAATACGTATGTCCTTAATCATGCTAACAACAGAGTCAAATCGTATTATTTTTAACGGTGATAATTAGTGTAGTTTCTTTAAATTCACGATTTTGAATAACCATTTTTCAAATCTTTAATAGGTCATTTCTCCTCATATGTCATTGTGCTTTTCTTAGATCTCAAGCATTTCTGTTTTTGAATAACCATGTTTCAAATATTTTATTAGTAGGTCATTTCTCCCGA